TTTCTCAGCTGACCTTTGAAATATGAAAGTCCTCGTTGACAACATGAGGATGGCGTGTTGAAGCCCAGTGCTCTAGTCTGCCTCCCAGCCGTGTTCTCCGTGTTCTGTGTAGGCATGTTGCAGCACATGGATTACAAACATGTGGATGTACTGGTTCTGCCACGCAGAGACCCGTTGTGCTCCAGCTTTAGCCTGATTAGTTGCACATTCCTCGAGTGTTTTAAAGGAAACTGAAGCTTCGGTCGGTTCCTGAAAACCTGTGATTCTCAGATAAACAAGCAGCAGCAGGACTGAGAGCTTCCTGCTGCTGGAGGTTCTGCTTGTTGCAGCTCTTGGTGATGTTTTAAACTGGCTGAGTTCTGGTCTGCTGCTCCTGCTGCAGCTCACTGTGTTTATCGCTGTCTGTCGGCTCCACGTTCTCTAATCTGAAACTTCTTCTCTTCTTCTTCTGCTTCTTCCCCGAAAGCCTCCGACTCTGGAACAGACGGTGAGTCTCTGTGACATCAGTGAAGGTTTCTGTGTTTCTAGCAGCTGAAGTAGCTTCAGGGTTCGTGTTAGCGTTAGCATGCAGCAGTACAGGTGTGTTGACGGGGATGTCTGTTGCAGGAGCAGGAGCTGGAGGCCAGTAAGAAGGAGAAGCTGGCCGAGGCCCGGCTGGAGGCCGAGGTCCGGCTGTTCAAGAAGGAGAACGAGGCCCTCCGCAGGCACATGGCGGTACTGCAGGCGGAGGTGTACGGAGCCAGACTGGCTGCCAAATACCTGGACAAGGAGCTGGCCGGCAGGTAAGAGCTGAAGCTGCTGCTGCCTCCAGGTGAGGAGAACGGACAGGTTCATGTCAGATGATCTCGTGGTGTGATGCTGAGGTGGTTCAGTCCAACAAAGAAACACCAGCAGGGTCTCATGATGTTAATGAATGCAAACATGGGGAACTTTTAAAGAACCACATGAAGTAGGTGAAGAACATTCCCTCAGATAAAGAGGTTCTGGTGCTTTGAAGAACCAGAGAAGCTTCTGAAGAAGCCTTTAGGAACCTTTGTTTTTGTGACAGCAGGTTTGTGTGTCTGAGTGAGTAAACCTGTAATTATAACTCTAATGTCAGGCTCAGCCCAGAACAGTTCTGCTGTGATGGACATCATGGTTCAGGCTCTTCACAGTTTGGTTCCTTCAGAGGGAACCCTCCAGAGACCAGAGTGAACTGACAGCAGGTTCTGGTGGTTTGTGTTCAGGGTGCAGCAGATCCAGTTGCTGGGTCGGGACATGAAAGGACCGGCTCACGACAAGCTGTGGAACCAGCTGGAGGCAGAGATCCACCTCCATCGCCACAAGACGGTGATCAGAGCTTGCAGAGGTCGCAGCGACCCGAAGAAACCGCTGCCTTCTCCTGTGGGACACGTGAGCCTCAAACCTCAGCAGATCAGCTCCTCGTGTCTGTGTTTCACTGCCAAGTCTGACTGTTTCCTGTGATGCAGGACCCGGACATGCTGAAGAAAACCCAGGGAGTCGGGCCCATCAGGAAGGTGGTTCTGGTCAAAGAGGACCACGAGGGGCTGGGGATCTCCATCACAGTAAGAACCAACACTGTTCTATGAACCTGCCTCCTGGATCAGTCTGTTCTAGATGTTAGAAGATGTTTAGGGTTGGTTCCCTTCAGCAGAAACACGGATCCATCCATAGATAGACACTGACAGGAACCTTCTGGGATCAACACCAGCCTGGATGGACATTCTTTATTAAAATTCATTAAATAAAACTGTCCTGCTGGATCCATTCAGTCATTCTGATGAAACTGTTCTGACCTAAAACTACATTTCATAGCTGATGGAGTTTTATTTCTGGAGACACTGAACCTTTGAAATGGCTTCACAGGTTCTTTTGAGGGTGAAAGTAGAAAAAATACCAGGTCCAAAAATATCTGTAGAACTTAGTTTTAGGTCTCAAAGGAAATTCTGGCACAAGAATTCCTTTGTGATGAATAAAGTTCTGTCTTATTCTGATCCAGCGGTTCTGTCCTGTCAGCTGATGGCTCCAATAGTCTCGTTAATCAGGAGTGTGTGAAACATTGAATGCAGCTGAAGAATCAGTTTTTGTTTTAGACCCACAACAGTTTAAACATGTGGAAGAAGAAGTAGATCACAACGTGACCTCGATGTTCTTCAGAGTTCTGTAACTCTTCTGCACATGCTCAGTGTGACGTTTATGTTCTAAGGGCGGGAAGGAACACGGCGTTCCCATCCTGATCTCAGAGATCCATCCCAGCCAGCCAGCAGACCGCTGTGGAGGTCTGCACGTGGGAGACGCCATCCTCGCCGTCAACAGCATCAACCTGCGAGACGCCAAACACAAGGAGGCGGTGACCATCCTGTCGCAGCAGGTAAGGCTCATCTGCTCACCTGTTCCCCTGCTCACCTGCTCACCTGCCGGTTCCTTGGTTCGGCGGCGGCTCACCGTGTTCTCTGTGCAGCGAGGACAGATCGAGTTCGAGGTCGTGTACGTGGCTCCGGAGGTGGACAGCGACGACGAGAACGTGGAGTACGAAGACGACAGTGGCCACCGCTACCGGCTGTACCTGGACGAGCTGGAGGACAGCAGCACGGCGCCACCTAGCAACAGCTCGGCATCGCTGCAGAGTGAGTTCATCAGACAGCTGCTTCGTGTTCAAACACGGTTCTGTCCATGTAGAACAGGGGTGTCCAGTCCTGGTCCTCCAGGGCCACAGTCCTGCATGTTCCAGATGTTTCCTTCTTCCAACACACCTGATTCAATGATCAGGATGGTTATCAGGCTTCTGCAGAGCTGGATGATGAGCTGATCGTTGGAATCAGGTGTGTTGGAAGAAGGAAACATCTAGAACATGCAGGACTGTGGCCCTGGAGGACCAGGACTGGACCCCCCTGATGTAGAGGGCTGAGGTTCTGCTGCTGCTGGGGCGAAGGTGTTGGCTGCAGGTGTGAAGGAGGCTGAGGGGGAGGAGCCTCTGATTACAGAGGTGCTGTAGGCCCGCCCCATACTTACATTAAATGAAATGACATTTTATTTTATTTATTGTTTTTATTACATTTTACTTTATTTATGTTGTTTATTTATTTATTTGATTATATATGATTTTGCTAATTTATTTTTGATTTAATGTATTTATGTTTGAATTTATTACTTTTATTGAATTAAGTTTCTTATATTGAATACAATTTAATTTTAGTTTTATTTTTTAAATTGTATTTCTATTTTGTTGCATGATTTGATTTTTTGATTAAATTAATTTGAATTTAAATGGCTTTAATCAATTTGATTCTTATTGATTTGGGTTTTAAAAATGTAAGTAGTTTTTTTTATAATCCCATGAACACTGAATGCTGACGACGTAAACCCTCCGTTAAAAAAGACAGCTTTAGTGTTTCTAGAAGTCGTTCGACTGCTGCAGACCAGCTGGAACGTCTGCTGTCGGTTCTTGGGGTTTGAGCAGCAATGCAGCTGTGATGTGAGGTTCTTCACTGGTTCTTCTGGCCAGGATCATCTCCTCCTGCTGTGTTCTGGTGAAGTGCTAACGGACTGATGTTGTCTCCTCAGCTCTGGAGAAGATGACCCTCAGCAACGGGCCCGAGAACGGAGACGCCGGACTCTGCAGTGAGATGCCTTCAGAGGAAACTCCGTCCAAACCGCCGGAGACCGACTGTTCCTCCTAGAACCTCTACAGGACTGGAACTGAGAGTTCAGTGACAATCTGTGGGAGGAGGGAGAACGAACGCCATCTGTTCTCCCTTTTTCCTCTGTGGTCTGGTGGGTTCTGGGGTTTGGAGATGCTGGAGTCGCAGCTCGCGAGGTACACTAACCGAGCAGAGCTTCATCTTTAGTCGGACGGTCTGTCAGGAGAGACCTGCTCCACCTTCCATGTCTGTCGTTCTGTGAAACGTCGGAGATGTTCCCCCTGAGCTCTGGGTCAACTGATCCACCGGAGCTCCGGGGAGACTGACGACTTTCGTGGGATGACTTGTAGTTATTCTGGTCTCTCTAATCTTCTAATTAACAAACTCAGTCTGCCCAGTGATGGGAGGAGTTGTAGTGATTGTGTGAACGAGCTGGATCAGCTGTGAAGCAGCAACGTTCAGGCTCCTCCAGATGTTCAGTGAAGCTGAAGCTGGAAACCGGTTTGAACCTGAAGCGTCTGACATCAGAACAGCGATGAGCAAAGGAAACAGAAGCTGCTATTTTGCACACGTTCATGCTGAAGAGCGTCAAATCCTTTAAACAGCTTCTTCTCATGAGATACTGAACATCTGGAGAAAACCAACAGTCGTAGAACCAACAGTCGTAGAACCAACAGTCGTAGAACCAACAGTCGTAG